GAGCTGGGCTGGACACTGAGCCCCCAAACCCTTCCCCCGGTGCTTTGGGGCGCCCCTGGGGGTTGGCACAGCCGGGACCCCCTCTCTGGAGGCACCACCCGGGGTGACAGGAGCGAGGGTGACCCCGGCTCTGTCCCTCTGCCCGGGGCCGTGTCCCCCCCGCCCGTGGGGACACCGGGGGCTGGCAGCACCGCCCGTTCCCCCCAATCCCACCACAGCCCGTCCCCCTGAGCCCGGGCTGCTGGAGCAGAGCCACCAGCGGGGCCGGCTGGCCCTGGGGACAATGTGAAGTGGCAGCGGGGGGCTGCCGGCTCCATTGGCCGCATCCTGCCCAGCCAGACCCCCGCCTGTAGCCCCCCTCTTCCTCCCCTCATTAAAAACCCGGCAGCCTTTCCCCAGGCACTGCCCAGCCCCCGGAGCCGAGCGGGGCTCTCCCACGCCGAGGAGGAGGAGGAGGAGGAGGAGGAGGAAGGACAGGGGGTACGTCCGTGCCGGCTTCATTTGGCTCCTCCAGCGCCAAGCAGAGCCCCCCGGACTGGGGGGAGCTGGGAGCCGGGAGGGTCTGGGGGCGCTGACGAGGGATGTGGGGGCTCAGCGCGCTGGGAGAGGGCGGATTTAGGGGAAAAGGGCAGGAATTGTGGAGCAGCATCCTCAGGATGGAGTGGAAGACTTCTGGGGGGGTGTTTGGTTTGGGATTTRGGTTGGGAGAGGCCGGAGGGGGCCGGGACCCTCCCCCTGCTCTGCCGCGGGGGGTTCAGTCCGGAGGGAGGGAATTCTCCGTCGGGAATGAGCCATGGGGGGGTTGGATGTGGAGCTGTCCGGTTTGGGGGGGTCCCCGTGCGGTCACACGGAACCGGTGGCCTCTGGGGCCCCCAGGATATTGGGGACGCAGCATCCCGGGATTTAGAACTGATGTGGGAGAAGAAGGGACAGCAGCGGTTTCGGGGCTCCTGGGTCCGGTTCTCCTCGGCCACCGGGATGGTTGGGCCAGTGGCCAGTTCCACCCATGGCCACGAGCAGGACCCTGGCCCCTTCCCCATTCCTGACCCCCTCATCACCTCCCGACCCCCTCCCCATTCCCAGCCCCCTCCCCAGTTCGTGGGGCTGGGAAAGCCGGGAAGCCCCGGCAGCCTCGGCGGGGCCTCTCCTGCGCAGCCGAGCGTGAAATGGGCTGAAAGGAAAAGGGCGAGTGAACGTCCCCGGGGCTGGGGGCTCTGTGTGCCCGCCGGGGCTGGCACAGCCACATCCTGGGGCCGGCTCAGCCCCATCCTGCTCTTGGTGCTTTCTGTCCCCATTGGGGTCGGCTCAGCCCCATCCCGCTCCCGGGAGCTCTCTGTCCCCATTGGGGTCGGCTCAGCCCCATCCCGCTCCCAGGGGCTGTGTGACACCATTGGGACCGACTCAGCCCCATCCCGTTCCTGGGTTCTCCGTGTCCCCATTGGGGTCGGCTCAGCCCCATCCCGCTCCTGAGGGCTGTCTGTCTCCATTGGGGTTGGCTCAGCTCCATCCTGTTCCTGGGGTCTGTGTGACCCCATTAGGGCCAGCTCAGCCCCATCCCGGGGCCGGCTCAGCCCCATCCCGCTCCCGAAGGCTGTGTATACCCCCATTGGGGCCGGATCTGCTCCATCCCATTCCTGGGTGCTCCGTGTCCCCATTGGGGCTGTTTCAGTCCCATCCCGTTCCTGGGTTCTCCGTGTCCCCATTGGGGCCGGCTCAGCCCCATCCCGTTCCTGGGGTCTATGTCACCCAATTGGGGCCGGCTCAGCCCCATCCCGCTCCCGAGGGCTGTGTCTCCATTGGGGTTGGCTCAGCTCCATCCCATTCCTGGGTTCTCCGTGTCCCCTTTGGGGTCGGCTCATCCCCATCCCGCTCCCGAGGGCTGTCTGTCCCCATTGGGGTTGGCTCAGCTCCATCCTGTTCCTGGGGTCTGTGTGACCCCATTAGGGCCAGCTCAGCCCCATCCCGGTGGCGGCTCAGCCCCATCCCATTCCTGGGTTCTCCGTGTCCCTATTGGGGACGGTTCAGCCGCATCCCACTCCCAGGGGCTCTCTGTCCCCATTGGGGCCGGCTCAGCCCCATCCCGCTCCCGCATCCCTCTCTGTGACCATTCCAGCCCCATCCCACCCCGGACCGGTGCAGGATGTGTCCCCTGTGGCTGGGCGTGGCCAGCCTGTGCCTGGGGACACTTTGGGCTGTCCCAGCCAAGGAGAGGAGAAAGGCGGACAAACCCAAATCTGACCTGACTCTCTACGAAAACCTGGATTTGGACAACTACGACCTGACCCTGGATAACTACGGCGAGATCCTGGACCTGAGCAACTACGAGGAGCTCTACGACTACGGGGACCTGGCTCCGAAGGTGAGAGGGACGCGGGAGCGCATTCCAGGAAAATGGGATCGCTCCCGGGCACGGCTGTGGCGCCGCAGGAGGAGCAGCGCTGGCAGCTGTCCCGGTGCCCGGGAAGGTTTTACCCGAGCCAAAACTCTCTTGGATGTGAGGATTCCTTCATCCCTCTRGGCGAGGAGGGATGGGGGAGTTCCTCGGAGGGTTTTTCCAAGAAGGAATCGCTTTTCCAACAAGCCCAACGCGGCGCTTGTGACCCCTCAAGGAGTGTCACYCACCCCGGAGGGGGACAAGCGACCCACCCTCACATTCTGTGTCAGCAGATCGAGGTTGGCACCTTGGCTCCTCGCCCCAAAGACCCCGAAACCCTCCCGGACCTGGGTTTAGCTACGGCTGGAACCCCAAAACTGCAGCACCCGACCGGCGCTGGTCCCGTCCCCGCTGCACCCATCCCCGGGCAGGGTGAGTCCCCACATCCCCACATCCCCAGGGAGGGGTTTTGGGGCAAAACCCAGCGAATTCTGGTGCCCTCAGCACCTCTTTGCGGAGTTTTGGGGTTGAGATTGCTGAGCGAGGCAGGAGGGGCTGCGGAGAGAGAAATTTCTGGGGGAAAAAAAAAAAAAATCACCAGCAAAGCAGCGGCATTTTAACGAGCAGAGAGGCTTTGCGACAGCACAGCAGCAATTAGATTAGCGACAATTAAAATCCTGGAGCGAGGCATAAATATCTTCATTCCTTTTCTGTCGCTCCAGACCGGGACAAATCGAGTGGGAGGAGAAGGGAAATCGGGGCTGCTTTGAAGTCCCCCCGCTTCTCAGGGATGGGAAATCTCGGGGGACACCGGGGTGGGGCTGGGGGAGAGCAGAGGGATCGGGATTAAGGGGATGGGCTCGGTTTTACCCCTCCCGCCCCACAGTGGGGGCAGCCGGGGCGGATTTTTCTCGATGCCGAACCGTTTTCTTGAGTTCTGCTCCTCCAGAGGGAAATTTAAGGGGGCCGGGAGAGCCTTGGGTGTAAAAAAGATGAATTTGGGAGTTTTTCATCGCTTCTTGTCCTGCGGGAGGGGTTTGGGACTGAGCAGCTCGTTTATGATCGGATCCTTGGGATGGGAATTTCTGATCCTTCCATGGGCGGTGCTGGGGCTGTGACAGATCTGGGTGTCACAAACTCCATGTCCTCATGGCAGGGTGGGCATGGTGGGCAGGTCCTCCTGATGTCCCGGGGTATTTTGTGGGGTCAGGGCCTCTGATGGCTCTGAGTGTCACAATCTCTGTGGCCCCATGGCAGGGTGAGCACGTCACTCTGTTCTGGGGTATTTTGGGGTGTCACAGACTCTACGTTCCCACAGAGTGGGCAGAATCTCCTGCTGTTCCGGGGTATTTTGTGGGGTCAGGGGGCTGTGACATCTCTGAGTGCTGCAATCTCTGTGTCCCTGTGGCACCACGGGCATGCCCCACTGTTCTGGGGTATTTTGGGATGTCACAGTCTATGTGTCCCCATGGGCACATCCCGTTGTTCTGGGATATTTTGTGGGGTCAGGGGGCTGTGACATCTCTGGGTGCCACAGTCTCCGTGCCCCCATGGCTCCATGGGCACGTCCCACTGTTCTGGGGTATTTTGGGGTGTCACAGTGTCTGTGTCCCCATGGCACCATGGGCACATCCCGCTGTTTTGGGGTATTTTGTGGGGTCAGGGGGCTGTGACAGATCTGGGCGTCACAAACTCCATGTCCCCATGGCAGGATGGGCACCTCAGTCTGTTCTGGGGTATTTTGGGGTGTCACAGACTCTGTGTTCCCACAGAGTGGGCAGAATCTCCTGCTGTTCCGGGGTATTTTGTGGGGTCAGGGGGCTGTGACATCTCGGAGTGCCACAATCTCCGTGTCCCCATGGCACCATGGGCACGTCCCACTGTTCTGGGGTATTTTGGGGTGTCACAGTGTCCGTGTCCCCATGGCACCATGGGCACATCCCGCTGTTTTGGGATATTTTGTGGGGTCAGGGTGATGTGGCAGATCTGGGTGTCGCAGTCTCTGTGTCCCCATGGCAGGGTGGGCACATCCTGCTGTTCCAGGGTATTTTATGGGGTCAGGGGGCTGTGACATCTCTGAGTGCCGCAATCTCTGTGTCCCCATGGCATTATGGGCACATCCCGCTGTTCTGGGGTATTTTGGGGTGTCACAGTGTCCGTGTCCCCATGGCACTATGGGCACATCCCGCTGTTCTGGGGTATTTTGTGGGGTCAGGGGGCTGTGACATCTCTGGGTGCCACAATCTCTGTGTCCCCATGGCACCACGGGCACATCCCACTGTTCTGGGGTATTTTGGGGTGTCACAGTGTCCGTGTCCCCATGGCACCATGGGCACGCCCCGCTGTTTTGGGGTATTTTGTGGGGTCAGGGGGGTGCGGCAGATCTGGGTGTCACAGTCTCCGTGCCCCCATGGCAGGTTGGGCACATCCCGCTGTTCCAGGGTATTTTATAGGATGAGGGGGCTCTGACATCTCTGAGTATCACAGTCTCTGTGTCCCCATGGTAGGGTGAGCACATGCTACCGTTCCGGGTATTTTGGGGTGTCACAGTCTATGTGTCCCCATGGGCTCACCCCGCTGTTCCAGGGTATTTTGTGGGGTCAAGGGGATGGGTGTCACAGTCTCCGTGTCCCCATGAGCAGATGCCGCTGTTCCAGGGTATTTTGTGGGGTCAGAGGGCTGTGACAGCTCTGAGTGTCACAGTCTCTGTGTCCTCATGGGCACACCCCGCTGTTCCGGGGTATTTTGGGGTGTCACAGTCTCTGTGTCCTCATGGGCACACCCCGCTGTTCTGGGATATTTTATGGGGTCAGGGATGTTTTCCCACATCCCTTCTCCCCCAGCGCTGCCCAGCTGCCTGCTGTGCCTGTGCCTGGGCACCTCTGTGTACTGCGATGACGCTGACCTGGAGCACATCCCGGCGCTGCCCCCGGACACCGCCTACCTGTGCGCCCGCTTCAACCGCATCGGGACCATCCGCGCCGGGGACTTCAGCGGCCTCGGTACRGCCCCATGGCCCAAACGGGGAAAAAACCCTACAGCGGGGTCGGAATAGTAAAGTAAAAAAAAATCACAGCTTTGTTGGAAGATTCTTGGTGTCCCCGTGGGGATGGGCGCACCTGGAATGGGATTTTTATGGTTTTATCTTAATTTATTTGATTTTATTTCTTTGAATTAGGGTATCTGACAGGGACACACCCAATAGGAGGTTCAGCCCCTTGGAGTGGGTCCACTCCGCCCCACTTCTTGTTGTGGATCCCCTATTTGGGATAAAACTGAGCAATATTTTGGGAATGCTTTTGGAAGGTGAAATTGTTGTCCTAAAATCTGACAGAAAGGGTAGGAAAAGTACCCGAGTTGGTTAAGGAGCTATATGAATAGAAATATATAATATGAAATATATAATATGAGATATATAATATATAATATCTAGTATCTAATATATAATATATAACATATAACAAGTAACATATAATATCTAATATCTAATATACTATATATAATATACAAAATATTATATATTATATATGATATATGATATATGATATATAATATATTATATATAATATATTATAGATCATATATTATATATAATACATGGTGTAATATATATATGATATATAATATATGATATTATAATATATGGTGTGTATATATATAATATATATATTATATATACATATGTATATATGTATATATATATAATATAATATATGATGTATAATATATATTCAACACATAGTATAGATTATATATAATATATTCGATATATAATATAGCTAATATAAAATATAGCTAATATAAAATATAGCTAATATAAAATATAAAATATGAAATATAGAATCGATAACAGAGCCATGAAAAATGCATAAAAACGTATGAAAATGTATAAAAATATATACAAATACATAAAAATACATGAAAAATGTATAAAAARCAAAAATAYTTTTTGCRCCATCKGGACAGGGGAAAAAACGGGRTTTGGGGTGGGGAATGAGKGGGATAAAGRTCCCTGCCTKTGTCCCYCTTTGCCGTGTCCCCAGCGAAGCTGAAGCGCATCGACCTGAGCAGCAATTCCATCTCGTGGGCGGACGCGGACGCGTTCCGGCTGCTGCCCAGCCTGCAGGAGCTGCTGCTGCCCGAGAACCGCCTGACGGCGCTGCCCGAGCTGCCCCGCAGCATCGTCCGCCTGGACGCGCGTCTGAACCGCATCCCCAGCGCCGGCCTGCGCCCCGAGGCTTTCCGGGTGCGGCTTTGGGGGGCTTGGGCGGCTTTGGGGGGCGTGGGGGTAAGGGGTGCGACAAGGGAGGGTCACCTCTAGGGGGTTCATCGCCTGGAGGGGTCATCTCAAGGGGGTTCATCTGTATGGGGTTCATCTGTATGGGGTTCATCTCTGTGGGGTGTGTCTTTAGGGGACTCATCTCTATGGGATTTCATCTTTAGGGGATTCATCTCTTTGGGGTTCATCTCTATGGGATTTCATCTTTAGGATGTTCATCTCTATGGGATTTGTCTTTAGGGGGTTCATCTCTAGGGAGTTCATCACCAGGAGGGGTTATCTCTAGGGGGTTCACCTCTAGGGGTTCATCTCTATGGGGTTCATCTCTA